ACCCGGCCTCCACCTGCGTCCTGACCGGCGCGGGAGGGCAGGGTGCGTGCTCCGGCCGCTCCCAGCTCGAAGGAGGTAACGGCGGAGCGAAACAGTTCCCTCCAACAGCACTTACAGGGGCAGGATTGACCTGGAGGATGGAAAACAAAGGACTTTCTCTCTGGTGTGAGTATCTTAGATTGAAAGAACCACATCAAATACAGGCAATGGTGGTCCGGTATGAAAGTTATAGACTTCAGCTATAAACTTCTCAAGTTCTTCTGTGTTCTTTTGAGATCTGTATTTGTACAGTACAAAAGAAGATAACGTCTGTTTATACAAAGAATTTATTTTATACACATTTACCTACAAAATATACAGCAGTTAAAAATAATGGGTGGGCAGAAGACTTCGTGGAAAAAATTACAGGAGACAATTCTTAACGTCTCAACTGACAAAGTTACACCAATAGGCTGCCCTTAGAAGCCAGCCTACCTTATTGTAGTACAGTTACAGAAGTTGCAACAGCTTTGCAGTTTTAGTCAATCAAGAGTTTGAAACAATTAAAAAGGCACCTTGAACAACTTAAACTCTTAAAACTCTTTACAGTTTTAGCTACTAAAAAGTTATGCTTTACGCATATAACGTCCACATCTTCTTTTTAACACTCTGAATAACAAATGCTGTTATTTATTGTGGCACTCCTATATTCTCTTCATCAAATCTGAAGTTACATTTGCAATACTATTTTCATTGTCAGACTATCACAGCATAAAAATCCACTCAGAATGGTCACATGGACTTCAGATACAGTACAATGTTACAATCTGGAGGATATAAGCATATTTAAGACAATGTTTAAAATACTAAAATCTTAAAATAGCAGTGTTGTGAACCAGATCAAACAAGGAACTAGGTATGACCACAACCAAAGTGGCTGGTGCACAACAGACACGATTTGACAAATGTGATCCTTGATACATTTGCAAAGTTCTTAAGGTTTTCTCCAGCACAGACAGGCTGTCTCTCTGCGAGCCTTTGAACCAGTTCGAGAAAGTGACCAGGAGACAAGGACAGCTGTAATAAGTGTGCTAATAAAACATGATGGGAATGGTATATGTTCCTTTCAGTACTGTTCATGAGAACAGAAAAAACTCCTTCCAGCAAATATTACTTTTCCTGAACATTGGCATTGACTTGCTATTTACAATAGCTTACAAAGACATCACAAAAATGAGGTTTGATTTTCAAGTTTAGCTTCACAGCCGATTGACATACTTTGCCTGTATGTTCTGTTCTAGCTGAAGTAAAAAAGTGACACTAATACTGAAAAAGAGGTAATCAGAAGTAGCAAAAGCACTGATAATATGACAACAAAATTTGGAGAAATATTCAAGAAAGTAATATTGCACACTTTCACTCTCAACTGTGTAAGACTTTCACTCCCAGGCAGTGACAGCCAGTCCTGTGTGTATTTTGCTGTCATACTACCTTAAAAAAAGGTCATTTTTGGTTTCCATGGCAGTGGGAAAAAAACTGAAGGAAGATAGCCCTTATTGAACGTGAGGCCTAGGTTTCAAAATTAATTTTCCAGTCTGCAAGACAAAAAAAAAAAAAAAAAAAGTTTAGACCCTGAAAGTTAAGCCAAACAATTGCACCTCAAGTTCAATTTTACAGGCTGAGTTTAAAAGGACGCAGAGCAATACCAGCCACTCTATATCCCTGTGTTACAGACCCACAGGATTCGTTAAGGCATACACAAGTGCTGTTCGGAAAAGCCGTGCACATTTACAAATTATCTGAGTTTTTTAAAAACACAAGGTTTAGGCAATGAACAAGTAGCACTTACATCATCACAGGACATATTATATTCTGCCAGAACAGTTCGACATCGAGCTGCTATACTGTGCGGGCTGTGTCAAGGAAAGCAGCCACCACTTGTACACAGAGTAAATAAAAACTGGAAAAGCAGTATTGCATAGGCTTCAGTAACAGCAGGAGCTGCAACGCCTTTACCCTGACCACCACAATCGAAGGATACATTGATGGTGCCACCACTCGTTTATGTATTCCAGCAAAGAACAAGCCTATTAACGTAATACAGCTAATTGTGAAAAATGGGTGATTCCAAAGTGATGTAAAAAATGACACCTAGGAAAGAAATCAGATTAGTCCCCTATATACTTTCTAAAGCATATAAAAAGTTGCTGCCTAGTTCACTTGATTAAAAAAAAACCAAAACAAAACAAAAAACAACCTGCTCCTAGCCATTTCTTGTGAACAATTCTTAAGGTAAGCATTCAAGGTGTAATTTTTTGGTAGGCATTGTCCCAGGATATACTCCACAACAATTCCAGACTGCTTGAGAGCTTAACTACAACTATCTCCCAGTTCCACAGGAGAACCTCCTTTAGTCTGTCAGTTTTCAATATACTGTACACCACTTGGCTGCCACACAGAGCTAGGGAACAGACTGCACTCGGGATTAACCTGAGCTTTACCTTTTGTGTCTCTGGGTCTATTAACCAGTTCCAAGCGCCAGTTGCTGTGCAGACCGATACCACTATCAGAATCACTGGTAAAGAAAAGAATGAGACTCATAAACAATAGTATACCTCAATCCTATTAAGAAGCATTTACTTTTCAGCAACAGCTCCGAAGCATTTATTTCTTTTCCCACTGCTCAGGGAGGGAAAGCTTCTACTCAGATGGTAAAACTGAAAATAGGCAAAGAAACTTCCATCATATGAAACCATAAAGATTTTATACAAGTTTTCTGGACAGGACAAGTAGGCATCAAAATAAGAGTTCTGTCAAGTAAAAACATCCTGGTGGTTTGAAGAAATTAAAGTTTTTAAAATAACAAAGGTAGCAAAAATTGAGTTGGAGGACTAAGAGCTGTGACAAATGTTCAGTATGCTATCAGACCTTACACAGCCTGGGCAACAGAAATGTGGCACTGCAGAGCAGACCTAAGAAGAGCCCGAGGCATCAGCACCAGCAGTTTCAGTGGCACACCCCAGCGATGTTACACTCCACACCCCAATCAACACAATTACAAGGAAGGAAAGCAGACACCAATTAAAACCCACAAAATTTAAACAGGACTCAGAAGGCACGTTAGCTTTAGCACACAAAGATTAACAAAATCCTCTACACATCCAGAGTGGCTTAGGAAGAATAATCTATTCACTGTTAAGTATATAATGCTAGATATTATTACATTATTACATATTAGAGTAACTCAATACACCAGAGTGATTGTGAGACACCACAAAGGGCCAGGGAATAGGGGTTAATGGAAAAAAAACAGAACGAATACTTAGATAGAGTGCTCATATTCTATTGCATACTCATAAAGCCTTGCAGCTTTCATTGGACATCTGGCAGTTCTGAGTGTTTTCTGTGGAGCCTGAAGTTCTGGATACAAGTAAAGTCTTTTACAGGGAGGGGGGCAAAAGGAAAAATAAAACCCACACACCAAACCCAAAAAAAAAGGCCCAGAGATATCAGCCTTTAGGAGCATAGGAAAGAACCTGAAAACAAACCCAACAAACCCCAGATATTAATGAAATACTACTTGCAGTTTTGTAAGACTGCTACAATTTACTACTGAGTTGCACATTTCTTATCAATATTACTAAATCAGAATCAAAATTAAGAAGTAACCCTAATAAGTTCTGTCTTCAAGAGGCAGTTGGAAAAATACCCAAAGCACAGAGCTTCAACCCTGTATATATAATTTTTTCAGGATAGCAGGAGGAAAAGTTGACACTGAATTAAATAAACCTTTACATTTAAAGTAAAAACACCATCTTTTACATGAATTACAGTACTCTGAAAATAAGCAGTTAGGGAAAAAAGTTACCTAGTGAACACAATAATATTATTCTACAAGTGTCACTGAAATACACTTAGAAGTTTCCAGTACTTTTTTTAATTACATCTGACAGTAAATAGCAATTCTGGAAGGCAAACGCATTCCTACAGCAGGTGCCCAGAAGTTGGGTAGATCTGCTTACAAATACGTGTTTGCCTCCCAATCGCTCTGAAACAAGGGGGGCTGGGGTGGTGGTGTTTGGTTGTGTTTTGGGGTGGGTGGGGTTTTTTTGTTGGTTTTGCTTTATGTAGTCACTCCTCCGATTCCTTCATTAGAAATTAACCTCTTGGCCTCTAAAGAGAAAAGAGGCTATTTTATATATTCTTAAAAAAATGTCTGTACTCTTTGAGTATGGTAACTTCAGCAGAATCTCACAAGAAAAAAAGCAGTCTGTTTCCACCATGGACTACTGATCCCAAAGCTCACAGAGTACCTGTGGCATTTTTTGCCTTCCCCACTCCTTCAAACTGTCCAGTTAGAACACAGATGAGGACACATTCTGCCCTTATGGCACACTGCTGTAACTTTTTCACCTTCAATTTTATAAGGACTATCTCATCCAACTATATTTAGTTCAACTAACTATAATGACCGCCTGAGAAGTCTAAGCCTTAAAAAAAAAAAACCAAACCAAGAAAAAAAAAACAAACCAAAACAGAAATAAATACATCAACTTGCTGTCCCAACTATTCCCAGAATAATTCAGCCTTAAGCAAATTCAATCTTGACCTAATTTTTCTAACTCTGGCTAAAGTACTAGCTTGGTATCTTGTATTACCTTGTAAGTTGCACAGTTTGAAAGTATGCCACAGAAAGTTCAAAGGCAGTTTAAGCACAGATTTTTGTTTGGGCAAACATAAATCAAAGACACACAGAGGTAAATCTAAAAAGCTTGAGAAGAGAGAATCCTATTTATCCCTTGGAACATCAAACTTACTTCTCCAACGTCCTGTAGCTGGTTGCAAACATGCAATGTATTCAGTAAGTCTTCTTTCAAAAGCTTTGAGATCTGGGGAGGATGTATATCAAGCATAATTAGATCTTCATCTATTTAGCCAAGTTGTAATGTAAAAGATAAAAGGAATTCACTTTTCCCCTGTGCAAACTCATTTCTAAACAGGCAGAGAGAACCAATGCAATGATCATTTAGATGTAATAAAAGCACAGTCAAAGTAGCTTCATACAACGTTAGCTAAAAATTACAATGGTGGAGTTACACTACATGCAAGAAACATTCCCAGTTATGGAAAAGAAAATCAATACAGTCAAGAAATCAAAGTACTTTAGACATATTTAAAAATACTGGTAGTTAGAGTTAGAATAGCTTAAATAACCCCTCCACATAAGGAAAAAAAATATCACATTTTGGAGTATTAAGTACATCTGGAAAACATTAAGTTCCACTACCTACATAATGGTAATTAAAAAGCAAGCTGGCCACTTGCCATCTGTTCAAGGGATTATTAATAGCAGCATGGTTTCGATGACTTGGTTTTGTAAAAACTTTTAATGCCATGATAAATATATATTTGTACATACAGGTAACATAGAGGTTAAAACCCACAGCAAATACTAGCCCAACAATCTTAATTTTTTTTTTTCCTTAAATAGATCTTTCTTCCCATTGCTATCATCTTCCCATAGTCTTTTCACTGAAATTGCTGTTAAATACTAAACAGCATTTCTAGTTCATATTCCTAATTTAAAAAAAAAAATCTTATCCAGATAATGTCTACAAGAAGTTATTTCACCTGAAGTCCATGTTAGATTTCAGCTTCTCTTCAACAAGGTCAATATTTGACAATATTCCAGTCAAAGCTATAATTCTACCTGGAATTAAGTTTTTATTAGCATCAAGTTAACTTTTGGCTCACATGTTTCAGTTTGCATCACTCCGGAAATTTTCTTCCTTCAACATTAAAGTATTGCTAAGCTATTTACTACAATAAACCAATTAGAGAATAAGATTATAAGAAATATACCTGTTATAATTATTACTAATGCAGTTTTCTGAACTGCAAATTTGCTCCTAAGCGGTTTGCAGGTGAATTCAGGGAGGAAGATTACAGCATCTTGACTTCAGAAACACAACAGTTAACTAGTCTTAATTATTGCCAACAGCCCAGTAGTAACAACCTCTTCTCCACCTCCCTTGTGGGGAAGCTAAACCACTGCCGGCAATTAAAGCTAATTAACTGTTTGCTGACTAGCACAATCCCCCACAACTAGACACTGAAGTGAAGGGGGGAATTTCCATCACATGGAAAATTGCTATTTGAGCAATATCATCCTGCAGGCATAAAATCAAGCTATAGGTAACAAAGTTGTCAAGTAAACACTTGTATAACATAAATAGCACTAAAATACAACACAGAAAAAAAGGCTTTCAGAAAACAGGAACTTAAAGTTTTAACTTATTCTTGGATATCCACATTCTAAGAAGCTTCTTTGAGGTTACTGCTTTAGCACCTAGCAGCTGTAACTATCGAGGCACACTTCTTAGATCCCTACAGCTTGTGCAAACATAACATAGCCGTAGCAACGCCAGACGATCATTTTTTGTTGGCATGCCTACCTCTAGTATCAGTAGATAGAGCAAAACACCTGCTAAGTCTGAGATGCTGGCGCACTTTAAAAATCTCTACCGGTTTTATTTTTGGACCCTAAAAAACTCTTTTCAGGTTTCTGACATCCTATAAGCTGTAACTTCAAAGAACTTGCAAGCCGAACCATCGAAGTTCTCGACAAGAAAGGGTTTTGAGGTCACGCTCCCCAAGTGCCAGAGGAGCCCCGGCGCAGCGTAACGCCGGTGTGTTAGGTGGGACTCAAAGCTGCAAGAAATGCATGCCAGGTACGAAACCTACGAGCGCAGCCCTTGTTACCGCAGCACAAAAACCTCTGCGTGTGCTAAAGCCGAGAAGCCTTACGGAGGAAGGGCCCGGAAAAGGCAAGGCCGCCGGGCAGCTTCCCTCCTCAGCAGAGAAGGCAGCGACCGGCGGGCCCGCGCACGGAGC